GCGCAAGTAACTGGGCCCAGTGCATCTCGGGGTATGTTGCAGTAAATGGAGCGGGGGAGGGGTCACCATAATGTCCAGAGTATTGCGACCTCCCTGGTGGGCTGACAGGATTATTCACCCATAGCAGGCCCCTACAGGGCTGGCTTCATTCAAGAGTCATTGCCCCGCGTGTTTCCACCACCATTGCTTCACCGTCCCTGATTGTGTGGTGGGTCTAGGTTATTAGAGGCGTTGTTAGAGGACCGCTTGGAGTCGTAGGTTATGGATGTCCTCTCCACCCCTCCTTAGTCAGACTGCCTGTAATCTAATTCTATTTGAGCTCTAAGGAACTGTTTGAAGTGTTTTGATTTGCATGGTCTTTACTGGACAACTGGACTTTTTTTTTTTTTTTTTGCCTGGCACATCGCCCCTTCGTTCACACACTTATGTACATGCCCACCAGCCTCCTGAATCCTTAGCTGCATGTCAGGCCCTGACCTTCGTAACTTCTGGCTGCCAGGTTGCAGTAGACACTAATAGAGCAGGAACAGCTGAGCTCTGTCTCCTTTTCCTGCCTTACTCCAGGATGGGTGCTACAGTTTTTGTGCAGCCTCTGGACTTGGTGAAGAACCGGATGCAGTTGAGTGGTGAAGGGGCCAAGACTCGAGAGTACAAAACCAGCTTCCATGCCCTCACCAGCATCCTGAAGGCAGAAGGACTGAAGGGCATTTACACTGGGTACTGGGGCCTCCGGTTGGGAAGCGAGGTTGTGGGTTGGCAGGTCCAGACCTTGGCCCGATAGGCTTTGCTGACCTTTCTGTTCCTCAGGCTGTCAGCTGGCCTACTGCGCCAGGCTACCTACACCACCACTCGTCTTGGCATCTATACCGTGTTGTTTGAGCGCCTGACTGGGGCTGACGGTACACCCCCTGGCTTTCTGCTGAAAGCCCTGATTGGTATGACTGCAGGTGCAACTGGTGCATTTGTGGGAACGCCAGCTGAGGTGGCTCTTATCAGGATGACTGCTGATGGCCGGTGAGTTCCAGGTCTGAGCTTGACTCCAGCCCCATTCCTGGAATCTAGAGTGAAAGATCTAGCTAGGTTTTACCTGTTTTTGTTAGCTGAGATCTACGGCAGGGCACTTACCTGCTTAGGCCTCCCTGTCTTTGTTCCTATGGACCCTGAGCCTGCCTGATCTTGGCTTTTTTCTGCCCTCTCCCCAGGCTTCCAGCTGACCAGCGCCGAGGCTACAAAAACGTGTTTAATGCCCTAATCCGAATTGCCAGGGAAGAGGGAGTCCCCACACTGTGGCGGGTGAGCAAAGGGGGCAAAGTCTTGGGACGTGGGGATCAAGTCTGTGGCATTTTTGACTCTCTTCGTTGTCTCCACTCTCTAGGGCTGTATCCCTACCATGGCTCGAGCTGTCGTCGTCAATGCTGCCCAGCTTGCCTCCTACTCCCAATCCAAGCAGTTCTTGCTAGACTCAGGTGAGAGACCCAGCGCCAAATACTCAATGCCCAGTCTGGCCTGAGCTGCCTGAGGGTTGACCGCCACCTTCTGCCTCACCTCCCAGGCTACTTCTATGACAATATTCTGTGCCACTTCTGTGCCAGCATGATCAGTGGCCTCGTCACCACTGCCGCGTCCATGCCTGTGGACATTGTCAAAACTAGGTGAGTCGGTAGCCTGGGACTGGAGAGCTTTGGGAGGGCCTTCTTTTTGCCTCGAATTCACATACTTCCTCTCTTTCAGGATCCAAAATATGCGAATGATTGATGGGAAGCCAGAGTACAAGAATGGGCTGGTGAGGAGGCCGGGAGGGCGAGCTTGGGTCAGAGTGTGTTGGGTGCCTTAGGAGGGATATGAAGGGAGCTGGGTATAGGGGACAGAGTCCTAGAGGCCAAATCCTAGCCCCAGCACTTGCCTGCCTGTCTGTCTAGGATGTGCTGATGAAAGTCGTCCGCTATGAGGGTTTCTTCAGCCTGTGGAAGGGCTTCACACCATACTATGCCCGACTGGGCCCCCACACTGTCCTCACCTTCATCTTCTTGGAACAGATGAACAAGGCCTACAAGCGTCTCTTCCTCAGCGGCTGATGTGTCAAGTCCTGGGACTAGAGTGCCAGGGCCCCCAGGTCACCCACTGCTCCTACAGTGATGTGCCCTGGGCTCCTCTATTTATTTTCCCTCTACAGTGTGGTTTACTCCTTTGCGGTAAAGAACTTTAACCTGTTCCAACCCTGCTCCAGCTTGCCATGCCTGGCCTGATGCTTAGGATCATTCTGTCACTGGCTATTCCTAGGAGGACCTAAGAAACTTCCCTGAGGATTTATTTCTAGTCACCTCTCGGATGTCAGTTTCAGGGCACACAAAACAGCAGATCTCTCTCTCTCTCTCTCTCTGGACAAACCAGAGGAGACAGGAGAGAGCAGAAGCTATCCAGATGGCCAAAAGGGTCTGTGGTGGAAGGACGAGGCTTCCTCCTCCCCGAGGAGATAATTAATAAATTGGATTGATAACACCAACCCCAAATCTGGATAGTCTTGAGGATCCTAGTGGGAGCTAACTGCACAAAGAAGCTGATATCTCTGGAAAACAAACTGGAGTTTTTAACAAAAAAAAAAAAAATTAAAATCACTTACTGGTTTTATGAAAATACTATGTAAATAAGTCCTATCTCAGCATCTGACACAAAGAAATCTGGGCCTGTGCACTGCTTGCAAGCCATTTGCCTAAAAGTGCAGTGCTCACAAATCACAGTATCACAGTTCTCAGAAACGGCCTCTGGCATCTCATGACTGCCTCTGCAGCATAGGGAGGGGGTATGAGTCTAAATTGAAGCAAGTGGGATATGGTGGCACATGCCTTTAACCTCAGCACCCAGGAGGCAGAGGCCACCAAATTTTTTGAGGCCAGCCTGGTCTACAAAGAGAGTTTCAGGACAGCCAGGACTACACAGACAAACCCTGTCTTGAAAAGTAGAGGAAAAAAAAAGAATCTAAGTTGGACTTAGATTCTGTTGGTTGGAGCCACAGAGGTTGAAAGAGCAGTCCTGAGCTCTCGGTACACAGTGGAGTCAAACCCAAGGATTGAGGAAAGAAAAGAATATTGATCAGAAACTGGGTTGGTTGGGAAAAGTGATCTTTTTTCATCCATTTCTGAAGTATGATTCCCAGGCCCTTGAGGATCCTACAAACTTCTTGGACCATAAAGAGACATGGGAAGGTCAAACCGGGAGGAGTGCTAGGCAGCCTGAGGGCTGCATGCCAGGCCAGAGAACAGGCAGACAGCAGGTGCGCGCTGTCCCTTTGGCAGAGTCTCAACACAAAAAGATGGTAGTGTGGCATCCTGGTGTCTCAGCTGCTCCTTTCCTTAATTCTTCAATACACATTGTGTCCTGGCCACCTGTATCAGCTACTTGGAGACATTTGAAGCCTGCACCTTTTCTTAAGGAGTTTATAAAAGTCCAGCAAGAAGATGACATGAGGCTGGGCGGTGGTGGTGCATGCATTTAATCCCAGCACTTGGGAGGCAGAGGCAGGTGGATCTCTGTAGGGTCGAGGCCAGCCTGGTCTACAGAGTGAGTTCCAGAACAGCCAGAGCTACACACAGAGAAACCCTGCCTCAAAACCAAACAAACACAAACTAAAAAAGATGACAGGAACATTTGGGAATGTCTGTAGCAGTGGACTGCATCCTGCCCAGACTTGTCCGTGATACCCATCAGATAGAATGAGAAGGAGAGCAGAGACAGAGCTCTTAGCTGGAGTGAGAACAGAGGCTCAGAGGAGGAACCCTCCTGGCACAGGAGACCCATGAGATGTGCGGTGGTTGAAGCACACAGTGCCATGGAGATGAAGCTGGACTAGTAGGTGGAGCCCATGAAGCAAAGTCCTTAATGGCTAACCTCTAAGGTTTGTCCTCTACCTGGAAGAGTTCAAAGCAGGAAGGAGATTCAGTCAGATTTACAGGAAGATCTAGAGCCATCTGGAGAAGGGTGATCTGTAGAACCAGAAAGATGCAGCCCTCCTTCCCTTACCTAGACCCTAAGCCCTGGATTGAACTGAGATAAGGCCTGACTGGTGAGATTAGCAAATGGCAGAATCAGTGGATTCGGAGAGAAGGGCCCTGTTACGTCCAGCTTTGAAAACAGCAGACCTAAGACTTTTCAGTCAGACACACTCTTTCCCAGTCCTGACCTGGCCAGTGAGGACAGTTGTGTTCTGGAGGCTGTGTGAGGAATGTAGCAACCTCTGCTACCTGGCTGCAGGCAGGCACTGCCTCTCCATTCTAGGACATTGTTCTATTCTGAAGTTGATGTTTGAGGTAGCCCGGGGGTATTCAAACCCTGCAGGAGAAGAATGCTAAGATATGGAAAGTATCCCTACCCACCCACCCTCCACTACAACTGGAGGTTTGTTGGGTTTTTGTGACCAGGGTGGGGTCATTTAGGACCTTGGGAATTCTTGTAACAGGTGTTTCAGCCATTCTCGTCTCTCAAAGAAAGCTACATTTTCTTTTTCAAAACGTTTTTATTATACAGATAGCACTGGTGGAAAACAAGAAAACGGGGAAAATCTATTCATGATGGTTGGGGTAATGCTCCTGTCTTGATTAGTGAGTCTCCAAGTTTTCTTCCATGTGTGAACACATGGGAGCCGTGTTCCATTTGATTTTGCTTTTTCTAGCTCTTCCCCCAAATGGTAGCAGTGACCAGTGGCCTGTCAATGCTCTAACATAGGGAGCTTGGCTCTGTGACTACCCGGTTATGTCACCTCACGGCCTCTTTTGATTTGCCTTCGGATAAAGGGGAAGTAAATAGAACGTCCCCGTGGCAGTCTCATCCCACAGCCCAACTAGACCCCAGTAGAATCCACTGGAGTCTTTCTCAGTATCTCCAAAGTACCCACCTTCACAGGCTGTGGCCTGAGTACCTAATACCCACTGTTCCCAGTAGGTCCTCACCACGACCCTGACTCAGAGCCTCCCTACCAGATGCCCAACACGCCGATTAGGCCTTACCCATAGGAAAAAGCTAGAACGGAAAGTAGGGAGTGACCCTTGAAGGAAGAGCAGCGAAGCCCGGGGTACAGTTACTTGTCTCGCCCTCTGCACATCCAGACTTGTGGTATGTGTGCTTGTGGCCAAAGCAGCAGATTGGCTCAAGTCCAGAGTGTGTGGTTTTACATGCCAGATCCGGGTCAGCAACAAAATGAGTATCACAGAGGCAAATAGGAGCCAGAGGAGACCCAGAATATAGAAGCCCAGGGGGAGGAGACAGCAAAAGTCAGAATTGAGAAAAGGGTCACTTTTAGAAGTATCAAAATTTGCTTGAACCATCTCTTGGAAAGTTAAAAAGCTGTTCAACTCTGGCATCGTTGTGGCGGATTCTGAGATACGGGGTATAGTGGGCTCTGTGGTAAAAAATAGGTCTAAAGTGGTCTCAGTTGGGGTAGACGCCGGGGTGGTCAGGGTGGTAGTGAACACTGGGGTGGCAGTAGACACTGGAGTGGCTGGGATGGTGATTGGCTTTTGGGTGGTTAGGGCAGTGCTGCTGGGCTCTGGAGTAGTTAGGGTGGAAGTGGTAGACACTGGAGTGGTGCTGGGCTCTGGGGTAGTCGAGGTAGAGGTGGTCGGCATTGATGTGATGCTGGGCTCTCGGGTAGTCAGGGTAGCAGTAGTGGGAACTGGGTTGGTAATGGGCTCTGGAATCACCAGGGTGGAAGTAGTAGGCACTGGAATAGTTAGGGTGGAGGTGGTAAGCATTGGTGTGGAGCTGGGCTCTGGAGGAGCCAGGGTAGAAGTGGTAGGCACTGGGCGGGTAAGGCTGGGCTCTGAGGAAGTAGGGGTAGAGGTAAGCCCTAGGATGGTTGGGATGTTGGGTAGAAGATTGAGATTTAGACTATAAAAGCGTGTGTTGGATTTCACAGTCTGTCTGCGTGTGGTAAGATCTGGGATCTGCATGTGGGTGGATGTGGACTGCCTCTCAGTGGGTTTGTGGGTTGGAGACCAAGAAAGCATTTGGCTGTCTGCAGAAGTAGGAGACTCTAAGAGTAGACCCCGGTGGGTAGTATGGGTTTTAGTGTTAGTAAAGAACTTGACTACAGTCCTTGTAGCAGGTTCATCAGAGAAATTATCATAGTCGTCATAGTCCATGGTATCGCTATCATCATTGTTAGGGCAGTCCTTCCCTGGGTAGGTGTAGACAGGTGCGCTGCCCAGATTGCCGCATCTTACACTGGCCACATTAGGGGTCATGGCCCTGACATCCACACCTTGCTTCCATAGATAGACATTGTTGGGGTTTTGCTGGAGCCAGTGGAGGAGGTGGAGGATTTCACAATCACAGTACCAGGTGTTGGCATGGAGAAAAACAAAAGGCAAGAGGAGGGTCCCAAAGAAGCCCTTTGGTATTGTATGAAGCCAGTTCCCTTGAAGGTGGAGGGTGTTAAGGTTTGTCAGCCCAACTATGAGCCCAGGGGGCAGCTCACGCAGTTTGTTGTAGGCCAGGTTGAGTTTCTTCAGATCAGTTACAGACACCAAGAGCCCAGGGGGCAGGTTCTTCAGATCATTGTTGTTCAGGCGGAGCTCCTGGAGTTGGCTTAGGCCATCCAGGACACCAGGAGACAGTGAGCTCAGGTGATTGAAGGAGACGTCAAGGATAGTGAGTGCAGGCAGTGCCCGTCCTAGGGAGGGCAGACTTCGCAGGTTATTGTGGGATAAATCCAGGGTATCCAGCTTCAACAGTTTCTCAGGGGTCTGCAGAGTGGTCAGCTCACAATAATCCAGGTACAGTCGAGTGAGGCTAGTGAAATGCACCACGGACGCTGTGGAGAAGTTACCGAGTTTGTTCTTGGTCAGGTGGAGGATGCCTGTGTCTGCTGGCAGGTCTGCAGGCAATGCAGTCAGCTTCTGGTTCTCACAGTTTACTTCCCGAAAGCTGGTCACTTGAGAGATTTCACAAGTGGGCTTGGAATGTAAGGAACTTGGCAGCAGGAACAGCAAGATGAGGAGAGCCATATGAACCTGTGGGCAAAGGGAGTTTAAAGAGATGCATAATTTTCCTAGGCTCCAACCCTCCACTGCTGTAGCTCTCAGGATCCCTTCCACAAGCAGCTTTAATATCTCCCGGCCTTTTCCCTTCTCTTCTATCCTGTCCTCAGTCCTTGGCTCTTATTCCCTCCTCAGATCCCCCTCCTCAGGTCCCAGCCCCACTTACAGTCAGGCAGAAAGACCCTGAAGACACAGAGCTTCTTCCAGGGCGTGACTTGGTCCTTCTCTCTTCCAGCTCCAAGGAGAGCCAGGTCAAGAGCAGGAAGGAGATAGAAAAGGGGAGGAAATGACACCCTGATAACCAACTCCTGCCACCCAGGGAACAGTCTGTCTCCCTCCAGGGCATAGGTCCTTATCACCTCTCTCCACAGCTTCCCCCAGAGCCCTCATTTGGTTTTACGCTCTCCCTTTCCTTCCACCCTGGGAGATCTTGGGACAGTCTTCCC